AAAAAAAAAAAAAAAAAGAAATAGACACCTGACAGCACGGGGCCCCTCCCCCAGGGGCCCTCCCTCACCCTCTCTGTTCTGAGGCTCCTGACCTCCCTCCCCAAAGCTCAATCTTTTTGCTTCTGTAAACAGCTTTTAAGTTTCTTGCCTAGCCTCTCATTTCTATCAGTTTAATTATTGAGAAGGCCTCTTGTCGCCAGCCGGGAACATTAACACCATTAAAAGGGACCTAGGGAATGCAGACCACAGCAGGCTGGCTCCCCCTCCTTTCTCTTTCCTTCTCCACTCCCCAGGCCTCTATATTCTAGTCCTGTCTCACTCTCTTGCAGGCTGGGGGACTCCGGACCTTATCCCTGCCCACTTTACCCAGTGACCTGAGGAGGCACAGACCAAACTGAGATACACTGTGTTCATATTTGAGCAGACAGACAGAGGATAAGAAGCACCATGGAAGGGACTTTGGCCCCAGGCCCCTAGTGCCACCTGGCCCTCCTGATCCTGGGAGAGGTCAGCATAGAAATTACAGCCCACTTCCTTGTCTAGGGCACTGAGTGCCTCATCCCAAGAACACACTTAAGAGACCTAACTGCTGAGAGTGGCCATTCTTTGTGCTTCTGCCACGTGCCAAGTGACAGACACCTCTCAGCTCCCTATAAAGTGTACACTCTCCCCTATGGAAGATGGGGAAGAGGACCCTCACTGAGGTCACAGTTCCAAGCGTGGGACCAGGCTATTTTACCATCTTTCTAAAAGACCCGGAGTCACAAAAGGTATTTAATAGAAAATTCAAATAAAAATAATACAGCAGCATCACCCACAGTGTAGCATTCCCAGAGGCTGGAGGTCTGTGCCCCACCCTATAGGCTGACAAGGAGCCTAAGGCTTGTTCCTTCCACTGGATGGCCCAGGCTACCTCAGCTTCCAGGCCTGGGCCAGGCAGTTGAAGTGATGACTCAGCTGGCCTGACCCATCACCAGGCCCTGCCTGGGCCAGCCCAGCCCAACTCCTCCTCCTCTCCTCTGGTCTCCCCTCCTCACTGACTACCCATTTCCAAGGCGTCCCTCCTGCCTGCTCCTGAATTATGTCCAGGAGCAACATGGCCCCCAGAGGTTCTTCAAACTGTCTATTGCAAGAGCAAAATTTTTTTCCAGTCCTTGCTATATCTTAAAACTAAATACAAATTTTGCAGTCTTCATAATACACCCATTTGTTTTAAAATTAAAATCTTGTTTTCATCCAGATCATCAAGTAAAACTACAACAAGAAAAGGTGCATATTCCAGGTCCAAGGGCACACCAGGGATGCAGGGATGGCTATGTACACAGGTGGGGCACAGGTGGGGCACAGGCAATCTCAGGTCTATGTCCTGCCCGCCCAGACACTGTGACAACATGGCTCTAGTCTCTCCTTTCTTGCCACCACCAGTTTCCTCGCCTCCATGCCCAGTGCTGGGACCTTCCTCTCCCTTCATCCTCACTTCTCCCCTCCCAGTCGAAGAGATGCCTCAAGACCTGATGTATCATGGGAGATGGGCTAATGGCTTCCAGAAAGGGCCCACCCCAGAGGGATGCCTCAGCTCTTCCCACCCTGTATGGTACCAGCAGCCTCTCTCAGTCCACTCCCTAACTCTGGAGACTTTGAGGAGAAATGGGTCAGCCCCAAAGGTTGACAATGTAACACCAGGGTGAGGAAAGGACCAGGTGGCTTCCTTCCAGCCCCTTCCTCTTCCCTCTCCTCATTCTCTATACACACACACACACACACACGCATACAAACATGCACAAACACACACACACACACACACACACACAGAGCAAACAAGGCAGGCTCCAAGAGAGAAGCGGGCACATAATTATTGGTAAAATGCTTGTAATGTTTTTCTCTCTACCCGGTTGTTTTAGCAGCTTAGCGAAGCACTTGGCTCCAATTGAATTGCAAATCAGCAGCTCTTGCCCCAGGAAGAGAGAAAGAGAGGCGGCGAGGAGGGGGCAGGGAGGGATTCCAGAAAGAAAAGGAGAAAGGTGTGCGAGGGAGAAGGGCAGAGGAAGGGAACAGAGGGAAGCTTGGTGCAGGGCCCAGGACACCAAAACTGGGACTGCCTACTCCCTCTGAGACTCAGTTTTTCTCTCCTCACCTGCATTCTCTGAGACTCAGTGCCCCACCTCTAACCAAAACATAAGGACACTTTCTTTATTATAAGGACATAATCTTGGGTGGGGTGGGAGGGCCACGACAGGCTTCTTCAACTAACCAGAAGAAAAACATACATGTCTTGGGAATTTCAATGATTTGAAAACAATGTCAAAACAAGTCTTGCTTTTTTTTTTCTCTGTGGCAATCTCCAATACTCATACTTTCATTCTTTTTATCTGTCTGTCTGCCTTTCTGTCCATCCACCTGTCCATCTTTTTACCTGTCTGTCTGTCTTTTTGTCCATCCACCTGTCCATCATTTGGGCTAATTTCTCCGGGTTCCTTCCCTCACCCTAGCCTCTCCTCCTCCCTCTGTCATTCCCCAGTACTTCCTAGTCCCTCTGGTCCAGAACTCCCTGGAGGGGGTGCAGCGGCAGAGCTCTCAGAGGCAGAAGCTGTTTCAGCACCACAGTCAGCGCCACCAAGCTGGGTCCCTCCCCAACGCCTTCGTGCCACAGGGCAATACTGGAATGTCTATTTAAAGGCAAAACCGCCCCTTGGAGTCAGGAAGGGAAGAGGACACACGGGGCAACCAGCCACACATGGCCCACTGGGGTGTGAGGGGCTGAAGCTATTGGGGGAAGAGCACCATGGGGGCCAACCAGCCAGGCACTGACCTTGAAGAGGCGAAGGATGTTAGCCACCATGATGGAGACTGAGCTCCCTGAAGCACCTATGACACCCACCACGCGTTCAGGTTTGGTAATGATGGGTGGGCCGCCACTCCCACAGCGGACCTCCGTGCCATCCTTCTCGATGAGCGCCTGCACAAAGGTCAGTGACTGCTCGAGGGCATGGGTATCCCTGGAGCAGGTGTCCAGAATGCGGGCGCCCAGCGTGATGTTGGGCAGCAGGTCCGGGTCATTGTTGATGCGATCCAGAGCAAAAAGCATGGCCTCCAGTCGGTGGATGCCCTTCTCCTTCTTAAGTTCTCCGCAGGCCTTGCCCTCTGAGCCCCGGCCATGTACTGGGAACAGGCCTCCCAGTGTAATGTCCCCATCTATGCGGATAGAATTCATGTGGGGGTGGCCCTTGGGCTTCCCCAGGGACGAAGGCACCCAGGGGCCGTAGAGGCTGAGGAGCAGGCAAAGGGGCAGCCGGGCCCACCACCAGCCCAAGCCTCTCTTCTCAGGCATCTCGGAAATCCCTAGAGACCCATGAATGGCAGGCCCCACTCCTAGCCCTGACAGGCCCCTGGCCCCACGGCCTGGGCAAGCATGGGCAGGGCGGCTTCAGCAGCAGGGTGGTTGAAGGTGGCCAGCAGCGTGGACCACACTGCTGCTCTCTCCCACCTCCTCGACAGTTGCTGGCACAGTCCAGGCCCACGAAAGCAGGCAGTGGCTGGGGTTGCAGGAAAGCTCTGATTCTCGTCCCCTCTTGCAGGCCTGTTCTTGGTAGATGGCTGTGGAAAGGGAAGAGTGCTCCTAGCCTGGCGTATCTTGGCATCAAGGAGAAAACAGCTCCAATCCTCTCCTCCTACCAACCTTAGAAGGGGGGGGGAGAGAGAGAGAGAGAGAATATCAAACAGAAGCCCAAAGAAGACATTAGCTATTCTGATCTCTCATCAGGAGCCTGAGAGGAGATGCTGGATGTTATCGCCAAAGACTCCATAAATCTCCTGAACTTGGTTTCCTCTCGGCTGTTGCTCAACCCTGGTTTAAATAGGAGAGCTTAAGGGAGAAACTAGGTCATGTTTGAAGCTTCCTAAGGCCGGTCTGTGCCCACTGCCATCAGAAGCCTGGGCATGAGAGTGTACTCCCCAGCATCAGCTTTGCACTGGCTTGGGAAGCAGAATGGCCTTCCTCGACTCACCCACAAGAAGAAGCAGCAAGACACCAGTCTTGCCAGGCCCAGTCCCATTATAGATACGAGGGGATGGAGTCCCTGAGTCACACAGGGAGTGTGCGGTAGAATGACTACTAGAACTTCCCAGCTCCAGACTCAGGAAGGCAAACAAGACCCTGTGGAGAGAAATCATCCTGCTCTGTGCTGCCTGCTGTGAGCCAGGGTGGGCCCTGCTCCTCTGAAGGCTGAGAGGCCAGTGAGAAGCCATTGAGGCTCTGACTGTCCTCCCAAATCAGTACACAAGGTGGACCCTCCCCTTCCACATTTCCACCACAGGTGCAAAGCCACCCCAGGCAGAGAGGGTAAAGCTGGTGTTCCCTATGTGAGAAGCAAGCCTCCTTCTGCCACCACCCACTTTCTGACTGTCTTTATTCTATTTCTCCATTTCTCCTTCCTTCCCCCTCTACTTCCTCCCTCTGAGAGTGGGGCTCGGGTTACGGCCTGAGCTACTGCACATTATTAAGATCATCATCATTATTGTTGTTGTTGTGATTAAATATTTATATGCAAGGGTAGAGGAGAGAACGCCAGCTCTTCCTCATTCTCACTGCTAATTTGGGCTAATTTCCCCTGGGGTTCCTTCCCTCACCCCAGCCTCCCTGCTCAATGTCAGCAACCTACCTCCCCACCACTGAGGAGGCCACAGGAAGAAGGGCTAGAAGCTGAGTCAAGGCTTAGCTGGGTAGCAGACCCTAAGACCCCCTTCCCCCAGAGAGCTGTTATGAAGACCAAAAAGCCACTTGTCCATTATGTGCCTCAGTTTCCCTAAGCAGTTGGAAGAAGAGTTTGTGTTTAGATTGGGAAGTTTTCCCAGAGACATGGCGAGTCCATCAAGGCAGAGTGGTAGAGCTCATGCCTATAATCCTAGCACTCTGGGAGGCCAAGGTAGGTAGATTGCCTGAGCCCACAGGTTCCAGACCAGCCTGAGCAAGAAAGCAACCCTGTCCCTAAAAATAGCTGGGCATTGTGGTGGGTGCCTGTAGTCCCAGCTACTTGGGAGACTGAAGCAAGAGAACTGCTTGAGCACAAGAGTTTTAGGTTGCTGTGAGCTATAACACCACGGCACTCAACCCCAAAGGGACAAAGTGAGACTCTGTATCAAAAAAAAGAAAGAAAGAAAAGGCTGAGTGGTGGTCTCAGGGCCATCTCACCAGCATATGTCATATGTCATTGCCCCAACAGAGGCCCTGACTGCTCCTGTTCTGGGCTAAGGAGAAGAAAGGGGAGGGTACAGTATCCCAGAGTCTCGGCTTCTGGCCTTCTCTGGACTTCTGGGCCCTCACTTCACATCTCACCCCTTCATCAATATGCTCTCTTCATATTAGCTCCTCAGAAACCAAGAATATGGCTCCTAATTCTCCCTGGCCCCATTCTGCAGGTAAAACAGTGACCCAGAGACATCACATAACTCTCCCAAAGTCACAGGGCAAAGCAAGAAGCCAGCACCAGTCATACTGAGGGATCCCTAAGGAAGCCCACAGAAAGTTTCATAACACTATTATTTCCCCTGAAGCTAGAATCCAATGACCTAGGGCTGTGGCCAGTACCAGTGCTTTGGGGAAGGCTTCAGAGCTGTTAAGATGCAAGGAAGGGGCTATGCCTATATGGAGTCATCATTACTCACATCTCCATGTAAATAAGTTGATCAGATCTCTGTCCCACAAGGCTGTGGGGAGTGAGAGGACATGAGCTGTGAGTTGCTGATACCAGTACCAGGAAATTCAGAAAAGAGAAACTAGAGAAGTCACAGATAAATCTTCAAGACCTGCTACTGCCTTGGTGGAAGGGAGATACATCCCCTCTCTTTCTTAGTAAACTCTAAAAAGTGGGTGGGTTGGAATAAAACCCAGCCCGGGGTCACACTGGAAATATGCCCTTGGAAAGCATATTTTCAGTTGTCACCATGATGGGGGAGAGTCACTACTAGGCTGTGTGCAAGGCAGGAGTCAGAGAGGCTAATAGTCCTGCTGTGGGTGGGGGAGCCTGCAGAGGGACACGCTGTCTTGTCCAAGTGCCCCGTGGAGAGGTAACAGCAGATGACACCACCACTATGTGGCAGCCATTGTTCTGAGTGCTTTGCTTACATTTCTCCATGTAATCCTCACATCCCTCTCCATGAGCTCTGTAGTATTTTTATCCCTATCTCACAGATGAGGAAGCCAAGGCAGTGAGTGCTTACATGACACAGCCCGGGGACCCAGAGCTGGTGCAGGCTGCTCCTGCCCCTGGCCACTCCATTTCACTGGGGCAGACAATCTCTCAGGCACTGCCTGGTTCTAACATCCTGTGAGTTTGATTGGCCTCCATGAATTTCAAACGGAGGGATTTTTGGCATCGTGACAGGCTGTGTGCCAGGCTACAGCAGGGCAGATTCAGGCTGGGAGATCAATGCACAGCAGCTTTTGACAGTCAGGCCCTGCTCAGCCTTCCAGACCCTTCCTGAAGTCTCAATGTGGCTTCTCCTTGAGGCTTGAGCATGTCTGCGCTGAGCAGTGCACACACACACACACACACACACACACACTGAGGGAAGGACAGAGGCCAGGCAAAGAAGACCTCTAAAAGGAAGAAGACAAATGCCCACAGATTAGGACCAAGAGCTGCAGCCCCAGGCTGGCCACATCCCTCCAGGCTTCCCTCCCCAGGACTGGTCTTGGCCCCTGACCACGGGCCCCTCTCCACCCCTCAGTCCTATCAGGCCTGCCTTTTCTGGGCTTCTCCAAAGAGCTGGGAAAACCACTGTCTCTTTTAGCCTCCTCTCCTTCCTTTGATCATGGAACAGGAACAAGAGAAAAGTAAAAATACCCCATGAGTGAAAGAAGCCTCCCAGCACAGAGGCCAGGGGTAGGGGGATGGGAGGGTAGGAGGCAGGCTGAGGCTGCCTTCCCCACAGGGCCTACCTCTACCTGCAGAGCAAGTGGGGTGGGGAGGATATAGAGGGGATACTTCTCTGAAGTCCTTTCTCCAGTGCTCAGAAACTCCCCAAATTCCAAAATAGCCAGAAAGCTGAAATCTGGAACAGTTAGGAGCATCCTTCCCCAGGTAAAGTCACCAGGATGGCTGCAAGGTTCAAGCCAGAGTACCTGGCCCACCCAGGAGGGCCTCCCTCTGCCCTCCCCTCTACCCTCCCCATCTCTCTCCTCTCTTCTCCCACCTCTGTATCCCCTTCCCTCCCTGGTCCCTGCTAAATTCCTTGGCTCCAGGGGAGGGCAGAGCCAGGCACAGAGGGATGAAGACCCCAGAGGAGAAGGGATGAGGAACAGAGAGGAGATGCTGGGTCACCTACACACAGCAATAGCTCACAGGCAACAGCACTTTCCAGAACAGTCTCTCTAGTGAACATGGATGTGAGGGGAGCTGGGGGCCACTATAGGCTACCTTTATCCCCCAAACAGTCAGGATGGAGCTCCAGGGGGAGTCCTGATTCATCTCAGCTGAGGGCCTCTCTGATCACTGAGGGCTCCTGTGGAGAGACCCCCATAAATCCCTCCCCCCATGACCACTCCTAAGTCTGTTAACAAGCAGGACCTTCATGCTTTTCTAACTCTAGTCCTTCCCTCTGCAATCAGGGCCCAAGCCAGAAAGAACCACAAACCACAAAACAACAACCAGATCTGAAGAGAACTACTACGATTTACTAAACCCCCAATTATTTTTCATTGAGCTTCTTTTTATTCTTTCTAAACTAAGAAAATAGAACAAAGCCCAAACATGAGAATAAAAGGCAATGAATAAAAGAAACAACCTTGTACTTCATTCCCAGGGACTGGGACCAGAGCCAGAGCCACTGACTCCCACTTCTGACCCTCTGAGGGTCAGTTTCCAGTTTCCCAGTTTCCTGGGAGCTCTCAGACCTGTCCCCCCACAAGCTAGGCCTTCAGAGTCTGTCGAGGAGAGCCAGTTAGGGAGCACACTCCCCCCACTTCTCAGCCTACAGCCTTACCCATGTTCCCACCACCACATTTTCATCTCTATTCACCTTTGCCTCCTCAGGGCCCAGCCAAGCCCAGGTGCCCAGAAGTGCTCAGAAATGCTCCAGGAATTCTGAATGGCTGAGTGGAATCTGTTTTGAATCTCCTGAGCTATTTAGATGTCTCATTACCCACATCTCCTATCTTCCTGGAAGGAGGAAGGTGCAGCACCACTGCCCCTCAAGAGGAAACAGGTGAACAGGAAACAGGCCTCCCTCTACGGCCCTTCTGCATAGGTATGAGTTGTGAGACAGACTCTTCCCAAATGGACAGGGCCCAGACCCAGGAAGCAGTTTGTTGAAAGCCACCTATCCCATCTGTACCAGCAAGAAAGCCCAGTTTGATCTCCACCTACATGATTCCCAGTTCATGTGGAAAGGGAAAGACCCATTAGCTCCTCCCAGAATAGCTATCTCCCCAGGGGATTGTGTCCTATGCCAACGCTGCAGCCAGCCTAGCACTGTGCCTGATACCCTCAGCAAGTTTTGTGGAAGTGAGTACCTGGACAGGATGTGAGCTGAATGATTCATGGGCCTCTTATTCAAGTACTCTATTCCCATATTTATAGGACCCCTCTATAGACCCCTCTACTCCCTACAACAGTAATTCTAATGGTGTAATTTGGGGCATGACTTCAGGCAGGTAAACTAAGGATTGATTGGGCTATC